CTGGATAATGGTCATGAAGCTAAAGAGCAGGTTGCTTTTGCAGATGTTATTCTCTTGAATAAAACGGACCTCGTTGAGCTGGATGAATTAAATCGTTTAGAAACCCGTTTGAGAAATATGAATTCACACACGAAATTGTTACATACACAATTATCTTCTGTGAATCTTAATGAGATCATGGGAGTTAACGCCTTTGATCTTGATCATAAACTTGATGTAGACCCTCATTTTCTTGAAGAACATCACCACCATGATCATGAAGATGAGGTTTACTCTATCGTTTTGACGGAATCCAGACCGTTAGACTTGGATAAAGTTAACAAGTTTATTGATGAATGGTTGATAGAACATTCGAATGATACGTATCGTTATAAAGGGATTCTAAATGTAAAAGATATTGAAAAACGTGTTGTATTTCAAGGAGTACACATGATATTTGGTATAGATGCTGATAGGGATTGGAATGAAGGAGAAGACAAAACGAGTCGTATTGTCTTAATTGGGAAAAACTTGAACGAAAATTGGTTTAGAGAACGGTTTAGTGAATGTGCGCTCGACGAGAAAACAGCTTAGCAAGGAGTTACGTATCATGATAAATCAGGATAAAGGATTAATGGTGATGCCAGACAAGAGCGAGCGACTTCGCCTGTTTGGCTCCGTTGATCCGATACCGGGTGACAAACCGGTTCATAAAGATGAAATGCAAGATCTTCAAAATAGTAAAAATGATTTTCTATTTGATTTGCAGCAAGTTGGCATACAGAATTTAAAGTATCCTATTGATGTCATCTCAGCAAAGGATCCTGAGAAATTATCTAGCATAGGTACATTTAGACTGACGACAACGTTAAATCGAGAATCTAAAGGGATTAATATGAGTCGGTTAACAGAGCAAATTGAGAAAAGCCGAAGTCATGGACTAAGTGATCGTATTCCAGACTTAATAATGCTAACTCAGCATATTGCTGAACAAATGCAGCAACCAAGTGCGGAATTGAAAGTTACTTATCCTTGGTTTTATGAGCGGGTAGCTCCAGTAACAGGCCTAATAGGTCTGAATAACTCACTTGCTTCAGTAACTGTTATATGGGAATCGGGCGTATTACCAGTCGTTAAAGTTGGGTTGAATGTTCAAATTACAACATTATGTCCTTGCTCAAAAGAGATCAGTGAATATAGTGCACATAATCAGCGTGGGTCAGTGAGTATTGAGGTAGAAGGAAGGCCTGAAGAACACATTCCAAGTTATTGGAAAGAAGAATTGCTTAATGCGGCTGAATCTAACGCAAGCAGCTGTCTTCATCCAGTATTAAAAAGGCCTGATGAAAAAAAGGTCACAGAACGAGCTTATGAAAACCCTCGTTTGTTGAAGATATGGTGAGAATGGTAGCTGCTGATTTATATGAGAAACACTGGATCAGCAAATTTAGTGTTGATTGGAGAAATGAGGAATCTATTCACCTCCATGATGCAATCGCTCATATCAACTATGAAAAGTAGTGGAAGATATCTATTTTAATATAGGTAGCTATTATAACGCCGGTGGTTAACGCCGGCGTTATAATTTTCGCAGTCTCATAAAATCAAAGCTAAGGAGAATGAGATGATGAAATTCATTAATAGTAGAGTAACTATGCTAGAACTCGATATGTTTTTTATGGGTAAGGAGAGTTTGATTCACCCTTTGTTAATTCGTGATGATGAAATCATTGATCCTGGTAGATGCAGGTCTTCCCCGTCAATTTGAACAGCTAGAAAACGAATTGGTTAGTGCAGGGACTTCTTCTGCTGTGTTAGATTACATCTTTGTTTCACATCAAGATTTAGACCATGTGGGCTGCCTTCCTGAGCTTTCTGCAGTTAGTCCATCTGCCATTATTTGTGCTCATGAACTTGACGCTCCCTACATTCGTGGTGATTACAAATTGATTAAAGAGGGCATTGTGCCTTGGCAGAATGAATTGGAAAGCTTACCTTCGAGCAGAGTAGATCGATTGTTAAAACATGATGAGCGTTTAGAACTGGGGGGCGGAATTACAGTGATTCACACTCCAGGACATACAGATGGGCATATATGTTTCCTTCTAGAAGAGACTCGTCAATTAGTTGTGGGAGATGCTCTTTTTTATGTTGATAAAGAGCTTAAGATCCCACCATCAAATTTGACAGTAGATATGCCAAAGGCTATGGAATCTTTGAGTGTTTTACTGAGATATGATTTTGACGATATTATTTGTTATCATGGTGGGGTTTGTCAAGATGGGAAAACCAAGATAAAAAAATTAATGGAATCCTACAACAAAACAATCATAGATGCTATTTAATCTAACATATTTTGATCATTATAATGCCAAATGCGATTCAGAGTGCAATTGTATACGTTTAATAAGGATCTAAGTTTTTTCTGAAGATTACGTTGTAATTGTGTTAACAAGGAGCCCTATTGACAACGGAAAGAAAAATGGGGAGATTTAATTGCTTTTAATCGTAATAATTACGATTAAAAGCAATGTTTTCGATATAAAGCAATGATATTAAGTAGTATAAGGTTTTTAGTTTGATGATCGGAGGAATAAAAATGGTAGAAAAACAGGTGAAAAGCCGTGTTCCAGTTACTGTACTAAGTGGTTATTTGGGTGCCGGTAAAACCACATTACTTAATCATGTACTCCATAATCGTGAGGGGATGAGAGTTGCTGTAATAGTAAACGATTTGAGCGAAGTAAATATTGATGCTGAATTAATTCGTGACGGTGGAGGCTTATCACGTATAGATGAAAAATTAGTGGAAATGTCTAATGGATGTATTTGCTGTACGTTACGAGATGATTTATTAAAAGAGGTCGAACGTTTAGCTTTAGACGGTTCTTTTGATTACATTTTGATTGAGTCGACTGGGATAGGGGAGCCAGTACCTGTTGCTCAAACTTTCACATACATTGATGATGAGCTTGGGATTGATTTGTCCAGATTCACCCGTTTAGACACAATGGTTACGGTTGTCGATGCAGCTCTATTTTGGCGTGATTTTTTCTCTAAGGAAACGTTAAAAGATCGTGGTCAAGAAGCGGGAGAAGACGGATATGCGGGAATCGTACATTTATTAACAGATCAAGTTGAGTTTTGTGATGTGTTGATTTTGAATAAATGTGATCTAGTGACAGAGGAGGAGTTAATCAAACTAGAAAAGGCACTACATGCTATGCAACCAGAAGCTAAACTAATTCGAACAACACATGGTCAGGTTGATCCGCGAGAAATTTTAAACACTGGAAGATTTGACTTTGAAAAAGCAAGTCAGTCCGCCGGTTGGATTCGTGAATTAATGAAGGAAGAGCATACCCCTGAGACAGAAGAGTATGGCATTCACTCGTTTGTTTACCACCGCAAGCGGCCATTCCATCCAGAACGATTACTACGCTGGATTGCAAAGTGGCCTGAAAGTATTGTGCGTTCTAAAGGCTTAATGTGGCTCGCAACTCGTAACCATATGGCAGTTTCTTTCAGCCATGCGGGAACGTCTAAACAACTAGGACCAGCTGGCTTATGGGTAGGTGCAATGAGTGAAGAAGAGAGACAAATGCATTTTGGTGACACTTTTCCAGATATACCAGACTGGGATGAAAAGTGGGGAGACCGTGTAACTAAACTAGTATTTATCGGTATTGACATGGATAAAGCAGAGATTGAAAGAACACTGGATGAGACACTTCTCACAGATGACGAGATGGTTTCAAACTGGCGAGCAATGAAGGATCCTTTTCCAACTTGGAGTTAAAACTGGGTAAGGGTTGCTTATAATTACTCTTTTAAATATGAAGATTAAGCAATATACAATGTTCGTGAGTAAATACATTAAAAAAGAAGTAGAAGGATTTTATAGATGAAATAATCTGAGGAGATGGAACTTGTGGCAAAAAAATCAAAAGTAGTTCGTGAGAAACAACGACAGGCGACTGTAGCTAAATATGCAGACATACGTCGAGAGCTTAAAATAAAGGGAGACTATCAAGGTCTACAAAAACTACCCCGTAATGCATCGCCTACTAGGTTAAAGAACCGTTGTGAAGTGACAGGACGCCCGAGAGGATATTGCGCAAATTTAAGGTGTCAAGAATCACATTTCGCGAATTAGCGCACCAAGGGAAAATTCCTGGTGTGACTAAGTCCAGTTGGTAAAAGAAGTGAACGATCTATTTGAATATGACTGTGTAATTGTTGGAGGAGGAGCAGCCGGTATTGGTATGGGCTCTGTTTTGAAGGATATGGGCATGACCCGCTTCATAGTCTTAGAACGGAATGAAATAGGTTCATCTTTTTTATCATGGCCAAAGGAAATGCGTTTAATTACACCTTCATTTACAAGTAACGCTTACGGCATGATGGATTTAAATGCTGTTACATTGAACACATCCCCAGCGTTTACACTCGGTACAGAGCATCCAACTGGCTCAGAATTTGCGAAGTATCTGCAAGTAGTGAGCGATTACAAGAAATTACCGATACAAACCGGGGTTGATGTGTTGCAGATAGCACCTCTAGAAAATGAAGGTTTTTGTGTGATGACTTCATCTGGTGAATTAAAGACACGTTTTGTTATCTGGGCAGCTGGAGAATTTCAATATCCTAGGTTGGACCCATTTCCTGGTGCTGAACATAGCATACACAGTAGTTTGTTTCCTACTTGGGATGCGATCAATGGAGAAGAATGTGTCATCATTGGTGGATATGAAAGTGGAGTAGACGCGGCTATTCATTTAAGCAAACTTGGAAAAAAGGTGACGATTATTGATCGTAGCGACCGTGGACTTTCCAAGGGAAGCAGCGATCCGAGTCTTGAACTTAGCCCCTATACTAAAGACCGTTTTCGATCGGCGATGCAAGAGCAAAATATACAAGTGATGAATGGTTACGAAGTAAAATGGATTGAACATGATCAACCTGATGGTTATATTTTGTATTGTGAAAACAACTCTGGTGAATCTCATTTATTAAAAACGATGCAGGCGCCAATCCTTGCCACTGGATTTCGAGGCAGCCTGAGTTTGATTAATCATCTAGTGTTACATGATGACCAAGGTCAACTGCAATTGGGATCAGCTGATGAATCTACGATTGCTCCAGGATTATTCATAACTGGACCACAGGTGATCCATGACCAGCTTCAATTTTGTTTCATTTATAAGTTCAGACAGCGCTTCGCAGTTGTCGCAAGCGCTATTGGACAAAGATTAAAAATGGATCTTACACCACTTGATGCCTATCGTGATGAAGGCATGTTCCTCGATGATCTGTCTTGTTGTGGCGAAGATTGCACATGTTAACTACTTTACAGAAAGAACCCAGTGAGAAACGGAGAGTTGTACTTATTGGCTTTGAGTCCGCTGGAAAGTCGGCTCTATTTCGAAGACTAACAGGGAAAGATACAGGTGAAGAATTAAATTATCGTGGTTCTACCGTAACTGTTCGTAGGGCAGAATTATGAGAACGACAAATTGAACTTCTGGATACTCCCGGTATTCGTTTGAAAGATGATAGTTTTACGACAATGGAGGCATTAAAACAGCTAGAACGAGGTGACACAGTTGTCCTTGTTATCAGAGGCACGAGTGTCGTTCAGGAATTACCTTTACTTCTAGACATGTTGGATGTCAAAAGTAAAAATATTTTAATAGTACTTACTTTTGCCGACAAATGTCTCAATGGATTAACGGACCAGGTCAACTATTACCGCCAGGGTCTTGGGATATCTGTTCTTCCAGTGAATACAAGACAAATGGCAGAATCTGATCAGGAGTTGTTTTTCAGAGCTATTGAAGCTGCTAGACCAATGAAAAGGCATCCCGAGATTAATTCACCGCCAATTTCAGCGGTGTTAGAACCACCAAAAACCATATTTGATCATACGACCTGGGGCCGCTTTACGGCTATTGTTGCCCTTCTGTTGTTATTTGCTGTTCCAGTTTACATGTCATATCTATTTTCAGATTGGATTCTTCCCTACACTGATAAGTGGATTCTTGAGCCACTTTATAATATAACCTCTGGATTATGGAAGCCACTACAAACAGTGATTCTCGGAGATTACGGAATTATTAGCCTGGGGTTATACTCATTTATATGGGCTTTTCCAGTGGTTTTATTAATTGGAATTAGTGTAGCTCTCACAGAGGAAAGTGGACTGAAAGACCGTATCACTGACTCGTTGGATGGATGGATGCGAAAAATCGGATTGAACGGAAAAGATCTAATTCCTGTGCTCAGTGGTTTTGGATGTAATGTAGTGGCTGTGTTTCAGAGTCGCACATGTGGTTCATGCACTCGCAAGGCTTGTGTATCTATGATCTCATTCGGTTCTGCATGTAGTTATCAAATTGGCGCTTCGTTATCCATATTTAGTTCTGGCGGAAGACCCTGGTTGTTTTTCCCATACCTCATCGTACTTGTGATTGTAGGATCACTCCATACACGTATCTGGAATCGAAACAATGTTAGTGACATGTCCTCAGTATATGATAATCGTACATTCTTGCAAAAACCTTCGTGGCGATCAGTAAACTGGCGAGTCAGATCAGTCTTAAAGCAATTTTTGTTGCAAGCAATGCCAATATTTATCGGTATTTGTGTTATTGCTACAACATTTGAACAGACTGGCTTTATTTCTGAGTTGACTCGTTTAATGACCCCTCTACTTGCGATATTTAATCTACCAGGTGAGGCTACTAGTGGTATTTTATTCTCTGTATTGCGAAAAGATGGATTGTTAGTCCTGAATGAAGGTCAAGGTTCTTTTATTAGCGAATTGAGCGGAGGACAACTTTTTGTATTGGTTTATCTAGCAACTACATTAACAGCGTGTTCAGTTACACTTTGGACGGTACGTAAAGAGCTAGGGTTCCAATTTGCTGCAAAGATGACAACTAGACAACTGTTGACCTCTATAGGGAGTTCATTACTGTTGAGCTGGTTATGGAGAATACTCACCTCGAGTAGTTAGTTACAATCTCTAAAGATAGTGTGATCCGTATCGAAAATCCAAATAGTGATAATTATTATATAAAATACTGAAAAAAATGAACTAAGTTCATCGAATATTAATATAATGCAAACTTGATCTAAATGGGGACGCTTAATTTATAGCTAAAAGAAAAGAAAAGGATTACATTGATGGAAAAACAGAAGAGGAAGTTAGTCCCAATTACTGTGTTAAGTGGTTATCTGGGTGCTGGAAAAACCACATTACTGAATCACATACTACTCCATAATCTTGAAGGTAAGAGGATTGCAGTGATAATAAATGGCATGGACGAGGATAGTCTTAAAGTAGATTTAGTTGATACACATACTGGTTTTCTACATTTAAATGAAAATAGAAACATCTCAATATTCTATACGACACGAGAGTTTCTGCTTAAAAAAGTTGAACGAATATCACTAGTGGGATATTTTGATTACATTTTAATTGAGTTTGCCGGAATTAAGGAACCCGTCACTACTACTCATACCTTTACCTCTATTGATAAAGAGTTAGGAATAGAAATAACCAAATTTGCCCGACTCGACACGATTGTGACGGTTCTAGATGTAGCTCTATTAACGAATAGACTATATCTAGATGTAATGATAGACGAAAAGGGACGAGAATATGATGTTGGAACTACCCTACAATTCATGCAGTTATTAACTGATCAAGTTAAGTTTAGCGATGTTTTGGTTCTGAATAAAGTTGATTTAGTATCAGAAATAGAGTTGTTCAAACTTGAAAAAAAATTACAAACCATGAAGCCTGAGGTGAAGATTCTACGAACATCCCATGGCCAACTTGACCCTAGTGAAATAATAAATACTGGAAAGGTTAGATATGAGAAGGCAAGTCAGTCTGCTGGATGGCTTCGTGTGGGGTTACAAAATGGACTTAAGGTTTTGTGTTTCCCGAAGGTATGATTGTTCTTATCTGATAGTTAACAAGTTAACCAGAAGATGGTATTCTGCATTTAGTATGGTCGAAGTCTTCAGCGAAAGAATTCCTGTTAGCCTTTGATTCAAACGTATGTTCATCGGGGAGTGCCCGCACTATACAGTTAAAAACATTTTATTCAATCCCCCCGTGCTTCCATAGATCATACAATCTTGAAGACACGTTAGGGGGATTGAACTAATCCATGGGTCTTGAGTGACTGTATTCAGAAGTGAAATATCAAATATCAGCTACGCAATCATTAAACTGTTTGCGGAACCAATCTTCATTTAAATTTCGCCCAATGATGACAAATTCACTGATTGGAACCTCATCTTGTTTCCATTCTCGGTCTGGGAAGGCTCCAAACAACATATGAATCCCTTGAAAAACCATCCTTTTTTTGGAGCCTTTGATGTTCAGGACACCTTTATAACGAAATGTATCCGCACCATGGTCTACTAACCATTCGTTTATAAAACGCTCAAGTTTTTTCAAGTCCAAGGGGCGGGTTTCTCTGAAGAATAGAGAGGTAACATCGTCATCATGATGATGATGATGATCTTCTTTTAAGAACTCTGGTTCAATTTCTAATTTTTTGTCCAGATCGAAGGCGCCAATGCCAAGAATTTGTTTAACATCGATTGAAGATTGTTGTGTTCGGTAAATTTTAGCTGCTTGGTTCATTGAATGAAGTCGATTTTCCAGTTGCTCAAGCTCATCTTGAGTTACAAGGTCTGTTTTGTTTAAAAGCAATACGTCTGCGAATGCTACTTGTTCTTGAGCTTCATGGCCTTCGTCTAAGTGCTGTCCGGCATGTTTTGCATCTACAACCGTAACCACAGCATCCAGACTATAAAAATCAGCGATCTCCTCATCCACAAAAAACGTTTGAGCTACAGGTGCTGGATCTGCTAACCCTGTGGTTTCAATTAGGACACGATCAAAATCTGCTTTGCGGAAGCCATTCTTCCCAAGTTTCGCGTTCTTTAAGTCGTTGAGAATACGAATTAGGTCGCCCTAACTGTGCAACAAATGCAGCCATTGTTCATCTCAAAAATCTCTTCATCTGCACCTACTACAAGCTGATTATCAATTCCAACTTCTCCAAATTCATTGACAATAACTGCAATTTTTTCTCCATGATCCGCGGTTAGAACATGATTTAGCAAAGTCGTTTTGCCTGCTCCTAGAAATCCTGTTAGGACTGTAACGGGAATGGCACTGTCAAGTGTTGTGTTCATTAATTTCGCTCCTTCGGTTTTAATAGTAACAATTACGATTAAAATTATAGAAGAAGCATTACTCACTGTCAAATAATCGAATGTCATTTCAGACATATCACATAGCTCTCTAAATAGACACTTATGGGAGGATGTTCATTAGGCTCCTTGACATTCCCGAAAAAAAAGGAGTATATTCTAATTTAATCGTAATAATTACGATTAAATTAGAAAAGGAAGGATGTCTTATCAATGACACGGAAGCAGGTTCCAGTAACTGTTCTTAGTGGTTACCTTGGTTCAGGTAAAACGACTGTTTTAAACCATGTGTTACATAATCGGCAGGGTCTAAAAGTTGCTTGTATTGTGAACGACATCAACATAGTTAATGTCGAGTCAGAACAAGTTACAGATGAAGAAGAAGTACTCTCATGTATAGAAGACCGATTCGTGAGACTGCCGAATGGATGTATTTGCTGTACTATCCAGCATGGTTTGAAACAGCAAATAAATAAATTAGTGGAGGAAGATAGATTTGATTATATTTTAATTGAATCTACAGGAATTAGTGAGCCTATCCCGGTAGCCCAAACTATCAGATTTGCTGATGATGACTTTGGTGCTAATCGGACAAGATTAGATTGTTTGGTGACCGTTGTAGATGCGAATTTATTGTGGCAAGATTTTGCTTCAGGACAGCTATTAATTAATGAGAATGAAAGTACAAGTGAGGATGCTCCCCATGATATTGTTAATCTACTTTTAAACCAAATTCAAACATGTAATTTGATACTTTTGAATAAATGTGATCTTGTAGATGAGAATGAGCTGATTAAACTCGAAGGTATTATTCGCTATTTACAACCCAGTGCCAAAATCATACGGACAGTTAACGGGCAGGTTGAGTTGTTAGAGATGCTGAATACAAATCTATTTAATTCGGAAAAAATGAGTACCTCTGCTGAATGGATAAACGAAACTGAAAAAGGATCACTCAATTCTAAAATCGTGGAATATGGCTTTGACTCATTCGTGTATCAACGAAGAAGGCCATTCCATCCGGTGAGATTGGCAGAATGTATAAGTAACTGGCCAGCAGAAATTATTCGTACAAAAGGGCTTATTTGGTTGGCTGCAGAGGGAGATGTGGCTGCAAACTTAAGTCAAGTAGGACCATCCATAGAATTTGGCCCTGCAGGGTATTGGATTGCGAATCTTCCAAATGATGACATCGAGGATATTTTACGAATTGAGCCAGCTGTCAGAAAGAATTGGCATCACCAGTGGGGAGATCGGAAGACGGAACTTGTTATGGTGGGAATAAAAATGGAGCGTAAGAACATTGAAGACAAGTTGGATGCATGTCTACTCAGCGAAAAAGAGATGGATCTAGATTGGAGTAAGTTTGAAAATCCTCTGCCGTGGCTCGAAGAAATAATATAAGGAGAAAATAATCCTAAAAAGAACAAACAGAAACCTGAGAAATCAGACATTAACTATCGTGTTTTAGATGATTAATGCCTCTTAATCTTATAAACGAAATAATTAACACTAAGCATATTAGCTTGAACAAAGAGAGGGACCACATGAGAAAACTAGTAATATCAAGATTATTCAAATCGACAGCGGTATTAGTTCTGAGTTTGTTTATAGTAATAGGCGTCATCGGTTGCAGCCTAGGTTCATCGCAAGCGGATAACTCCCAGCATCCTGAAGAAGTTGTGCTTGCTGCTCATCGCGATCTTGCACCTGGTCCGAAGGATGCTTATTATACAAGCTCGATTTTATACGTATGGGAGCCACTGATTACAGCGGGAGAGGATGGAAAGCCGGAACCAAAGCTAGCTAAGTCCTGGAGTATGTCAGAAGACGGAAAAACATGGACTTTCAATTTACAAGAAAATGTTACGTTCCATGATGGGGAGAAATTTAATGCCGATGCTGTCCTTGCCAATTTTAACCGATACAAGCAGGTAAGCCCCAAAACTTCTCCTTTTTATACGCTTAATATCGAAAGCACCTATCCAAGCTTGAAGGATGTGGTGAAGCTGGACGATTTAACGTTCCAACTCATTTTTGACAATCCGCAACCGACGCTCCCATACTCGATGGTTAACTTTGCAAGTCCTATGTATAGCCCGAAAAACTTCGATGCCCAAGGTGATTTTAACGGATTACCTCAAGGGACAGGTCCATTCAAGCTTATTGAACATCAGAAGGACCAGTACTCGTTGCTAGAATCATATGACGGTTACTACGGAGAGAAAGCCAAAACGAAACATATACGTATCCGTGTCATTCCCGATCCAGATACTCGTATGTCTGCTTTAAAATCCGGTGAAATTATGGGCGTTATGGATATTGGAGCTATCCCTCCCAATTTAGCTAAAGAGTTAATAGAGGATCCGAACTTTGAGCTATCTACAGCCAAATCTACAATATCCCACTATATTCAGGTGAACGGGAAGAAAGCTCCATTTGACAATGTCAAGATGCGACAAGCAATCAGTTTGGCGATTGACCGTCAACAGTTGGTTAAGGAGTTGTACCTAGGCTATCCGACACCTACGGTGAACCTGTTGAACGCTACGTCACCATTCTATAAGGATATTCCGGTTGAATACAATTTGACTGAAGCGAAACGCCTAGCCACAGAAGTGTTAGGAGGAGAGCGGGAAAAGGTCGATTTGCTCGTACCTACCTATGGTCTCGATCGTTATCCCTATAAAGCACAGGCGGAGCTGCTGCAGGCGGAATTAAAGGAGCTTGGTTTGGATGTAGAGATTCGGATTCTAGACAGTGCGGCTTTTAAGGATGCGCAGACTAAAGGAGACTATAACTTGGCACTAAGTACCCAAGGTCTGCCAAATGGGGATCCCTACACTATTTTGACCAACTACTTGACCAGTGAAGGGTCCAGTAACATAACGTACGGCTTGGGATATAGCAACCCACATGCCGATGAACTTATAAAACAACTTGCAGGTGTGCTGGACATGAATGAGCGCACAAAGTTATATGACGAGTTACAGCAAATTTCAGCTGATGATTTGCCGACAATCCCCCTCTTTAACGATGCAAGCTTAATAGCATATAACAAAAAAATTAAAGGTTATCAAGCGACTATTTATGGCACAACCCTCTCGGAGCTGGAATGGGCGAATTAGTATGATCTATCTCCTCCGCAGAATTTTAGCTGCGATTCCGGTTCTTTTGGGCATCTCAGTGATTGCATTTATATTAAGTGTCATCTCCCCAGGCGACCCAGCGGTAGAAGCGCTAAGCATGAGCGGGGTTGGTGAGCCAACGCAGGAAGAGATAAATGCTAAACGGGCTGAACTCGGTCTCAACGATCCGTTGCTGGTTCAGTACGGCCGCTGGGTTATCCATGCGGTGCAAGGTGACCTCGGAACTTCCTATATGACGAAGGAATCAGTAAGCGCGGAAATTATTCGCCGTCTGCCAGTCACACTTTCTGTAGCGGTATTGGCAGTTGTATTTGCTACGTTAGGAGGTATTTTGTTAGGAATGCTGATGGTGTTGAAACATAATACTTGGTTTGATCATATAGGTAGAGCTATTGCCTTGATCTTTGTATCCATTCCGGGTTTCTGGCTCGCAATAATGTTGATCACACTGCTATCAGAGAAACTCCACATACTCCCTACGAGCGGATACGGTACATGGAGACATTTAGTTATGCCCGCGATGGTACTGTCAGCGGGTACCGGTGCTATTTTAATGCGACTTACAAGGGCTTCTCTTTTAGAGGTTATGAATCAAAGCTATATTCTGACTGCGAAAGCAAAGGGTTTAAGAGAGTGGATTACTGTGCTACGCCATGCAATACGTAATGCACTCATTCCGTTAGTGACGATCATCGGCACGTATTTTGGTTCCATTCTTGGTGGTTCTGTGATTGTCGAAGTTATATTTTCATTACCAGGAATTGGTAGATTTGCTGTAGAAGGAATCTATCATCGGGATTACCCTGTCATTCAAGGTTATGTTGTATTCACAGGAACAGTGTGTGTTCTGTTTAATCTGCTGACAGATATTTCTTATCGATTCATACATCCGCAGATGAAGTTGGGAGGTAGGTTGAAATAGATGTGAAGTCTTCAGGAACCTCACTTCCCTTCAAACCAAGGAAACAAAGGTTGGGGCGAGAGTTGAATGTTTCAGGTCTAATAGCCATAGGAATCCTTGTTTTTATCCTACTCTGTACGCTCCTAGCTCCATGGTTGGCGCCTTATGATCCATTACAGGTGCAGATGTCGGATCGCCTCGCCCCCGTGTCCTATAGTCATATTTTGGGTACAGATACACTCGGGCGAGATGTGTTCAGTAGATTGTTATACGGAGGACGAATTTCCATTGTATTAGCCGCAGCTGTTACCGCTACTACAATGCTAATTGGTATCGTTATTGGAACGGTGGCTGGCTATTTCGGTGGGCGAATTGATGATTGGATACAAAATTTTATTAGTATGTTTCAAGGATTGCCAAGCTTAAGTCTGATGTTGGCAATTGCAGGTACACTAGGACCGGGAACTAAAAGTTTATTTATCGCTCTTATATTCACATCCTGGGCAGACTTCTCTCGGGTGGTGCGCGGGGAGGCGATGAAAATCCGAGAAGAAAGCTATATCGAGGGAATCCGTGCTGTTGGAGCGAGTCACTCGTACATTATTAGCAAGTACATCCTTCCTAATATGATAGGACCATTAATCGTTCTGTTTACGATTCGGTTAGGCCGTGTCATGTTATCCATCGCATCTCTTAGCTTTCTTGGTCTAGGCTTACAGCCTCCCGCACCAGACTGGGGAGTAATGGTTAGTGACGCTCGATCATATTTTCGTAGCCACCTTCATTTAATTATTGCTCCGGGACTGTGTATTGTTGCCGTATCCCTGTCCATGAATTTACTCGGGGACGCTCTGCGTGACGCGCTCGATTCCAAACTTACGCGAGACAAAACATGGATGTAGTAACAAACCAGAGTAAAGAGGAGGCCTACCTATGCCTGGAAAATTACTATCTATTCAACATGTAAGTGTACAATTCCAGACCGGGGAAGGTATTTTGAAGGTTGTGGATGATGCTTCTCTTGATGTGGAAGAAGGTCAAATTACTGGACTGATTGGAGAAACGGGAAGTGGAAAATCTGTACTAGGCTTGTCTATTCCACGCCTGCTACCAAGGAATGCCCGAATAACTGGTTCTATTCACTTTAAGGGACGTTCACTTTTGGATCTAAATGCTGAAGAAATGCGGCGCTTACGAGGAAGGGAAATTGCCCTCATTCCACAAAATCCAGCAACATCGCTTAACCCAGTTTTACGTGTCGGATATCAGATTGCTGAGGCCGTACTTGGCATGACTTCATCCAAAGCTAGGCGAAATAAAGCGGCAGAATTACTGCGTCAGATGGATATGCCCGAACCAGATAGGAAGCTGCGTAAATATCCCTTTGAGCTGAGTGGGGGGATGAAACAGCGAGTTTTAACGGCGATCGGGGCAGCAGGTGTACCTTCTTTGCTTATTGCCGATGAGCCTACAAAGGGTCTTGATGCTCTCGTACGTAATCAAGTAATTGAGCTACTACACAAAGTTTCCAAAGAGCTGGGAGCTGGAATGCTTGTAATTACCCATGACTTGCATGTTGCCCAAGCTCTTTGTGATAAGATCGGTGTCATGTATGCAGGGCAACTGGTGGAATACGGTCCTTCGAAATCCGTGCTTGGTGATCCAAAACATCCATATACTCAAGGTTTACTCCGCGCTTTGCCTGGTAAAGGAATGTCACCGATTTCGGGTACAGCGCCTGGACTGGAAGAGGAATATGTCGGCTGTAGATTTTATCCACGTTGTGAGAAACGATCGTCAGTATGTGAGATTCAGAAGCCACCTTTGAACGAAACACAGGCACAGACTGTGAGGTGCATTAATTCATGATCCAGGTAGAGGGTTTGAATAAGACGTTTGGAGGAGGGTGGCTGAATCGAATTAGGACCGTAGCGGTCAAAAACGTATCGTTTACCATTCCCAAAGGTCAGACTCTTGGCTTAGTAGGTGAGAGTGGTTGCGGGAAGACGACACTTTCTAGGTTAGTCCTAAAGCTGATTCAAGCGGATTCAGGAACGATTTGGTTCAACGGCAAAGACATTACTGACTTCACTACTGCGCAGATGCGCGTTTTGAGAACACAGATGCAGCTTATTTTCCAACATCCTGACTCTGCATTGCATCCTAGAATGACCATACTTCAAAGCTTGATGGAACCGATTCTACTACATCGTCTAATGAACAAGAAAGATGGAGAAGAGTATGTTGTAACTCTGTTGGAGCAAGTGGGTTTAAATACAAACATTCTTTATCGGTATCCGCATCAGGTTAGTGGTGGTCAAATACAACGAATAGCGATCGCAAGGGCGTTGACGATGAATCCCAAACTCCTGGTGCTGGATGAACCAACATCTATGCTGGACGTGTCTGTACAGGCTCAAGTAATGGAAGTATTGAAGCATATACAAAAGCAGCGAGGCCTCTCATATCTTCTGATCTCTCATGATATGGAGCTTGTACGACATGCCAGTCAGCAGACTGCGGTCATGCAGAATGGCAGTATTGTGGAGCTGAATAGCAGCGAAGCGATTATGGAACAACCGCAACATGAATATACAAAGCAGCTGGTACATGCCTTTAGGGCGTATCTGCTGTGAGAAAAGAATTAAGGGAGTTATAATCATGTCAAATCAACATTCAGATTATTTAGGAAATAGCGCATCAGAATTTTGGATTAAGGCCTGGGAGCAGGCAAGTGAGAAAGATGAAAGGACTTCTAGTGACAGAGAAGAAGAGAAGTATTGGCAGGAGAATGCTTCTGTTTACGATGATCGTAATCCTTTGGCGACTTACACCGACGAATTAATGCAACAAGTTATAATGAGGTTAGACGAAAATGATAGTTTATTAGAGGTTGGGTCAGGTACAGGTGGCTTTACGACACTTCTTGCTCCACATGTGAAGTCGATTACTATTGTTGAGCCATCGGCCTCTATGTTTAAAGCATTTCAACAGAATTGGGTGGCGACCGGTTATCCAATGCCTCTTCACATTCATTCCAAATGGGAAACAGCCGAGTCACCTCAAGTGGATGTCCTGTTTAGCGCCAATGCGGTATACCGTATCCGGGACATGAAAGAGTGTCTGATAAAAATGAATGTAGCCGCAAAGAAAAAGGTTTTTTTAGTGCAGTCAATGGAACGCCCTTTTGCGGGTCCATTGTCAGTAGCTGTTGACGGGCATACCGTAGAGTGTGAACGTGCAGTAGCAATATCTGATATTTTAAATGAATTAAACATAGATCATGAATTCGAGAAATTTTTAGTTACTCGTAAGAACGGAATGAAGCATCCTGTGGCTTTGATTCATTGGGTTCCTCAAGTAGTATAGGCTTATATACTAGACCATGTAATCAATAAAAGGCTAGTGAGTCAATGTGGGACTGACCCCTGTTTGTAAGACAGGGATCAAAACACCCTTCAAGTTATTTAGTTTTGTTAGTCTCGAACGATCTGTACGACGATTGTCGTCGTTGTACTGGTTGATGATCCGAGATAGAACGGTTCAGACTTTAGCGAGGAATGAAACAATTCAATGGGGGTATTATCAGTGGGCGTATCTTGCGGGACATGCTCATGGTAATGCCTTTTCCTTTACAGCTTCTTGATACGCTTGGGAAGTATACACGCTGCCCTGGTCGCTATGGAGCACGGTGTCTGGTAAATCCGGTAACTGGTTTAGGGTGTCCAGCACAAAAGCAGTGTCTTGCTTGTCAGCTATACAGTAGGCTACAATCTCGCCATTAAACAAGTCCAAAATACTCGATAGGTATAATATTTTTCCGCCAAAAGGCAATATGCAATGTTTGTTACGAGTTATCTCATGGCAGATGGGCTTTGAATTAACGCTTTAACACGTGTTCTGCGATGTAGGCTGGTTGCCCCGTAGGTTTGCGTTTCGCGACTTTATCCTTTCATGCTGCATAATCCGCTGCACATGTTTGTAATTTTCATCTTTACTTCTATCGGATAGCTTACTTTTGTTGCCAACGAAAAAACACCTCCAAGGTTGTCTCCATATCTTACGATAAGAATGCATACTCTTGAAGGTGTTTTAATTTGTCTTACTCTATGGAGCAGTCCCGGTAGCCTCGCAAGGTTTCTCTTTTACTTAGTAGGGGACATTTAAATGGTTCCTTAGACATTTCCCATTAACTGTTGCTGCTGTGGTTTAAATCAATAGCTGTTTATCGTTCGTAAAATATTGGCCAAGTGCAGGTAATCATTTGGAACTTTAAATAGCCATGCATCTAAAATTCTTTTAATAAAGGTTACCAATAATGTTAATCCCACCAGGAGAGATAGGAGTAAAACCAAACCCACATTAGACCATTCCCCCTCAAATAGTGATCTAATAAATAACGTCCAAGTAGGTAAAGATAAAGCAATGAGGATTGCAAAAGGTATCCATCTTTTCTTTCGAATTCGTTCACTTTCGTCAGTGTAGTATTCAATCAAATAATCAATAATTTTGGTATCGCCTGCTTTACCGTTTTGTTTCAAATAGTCCAAAATGGCATCGCATTGAATGGAGTAGAGTATCCTCATATTGAAGTTAATGACAGATGTTGATTTGAATAGTGTTTTAAAAGAGAATTTATGTCTTAGAAGCTCATAGCGATCCTTATAATTTCTTTTGACATATAGATCTGAAAGAAGTCCTGTAGTTTTAATCGAAAAGTATCCGACCAAAAAGAGGACAGCAAAGAGTGGACCATAGTACTTTGGCGGTTCCGTTCCCTCCAAGATTATACTTGTGCTGTAGAATACAAAAGCAATAAAAAAGAGGAAAAAAACAATACCCGTCACTTCGGATGCAAACGCCCATTTACTCATCAATTTCTTACGTATAGTATTTTTCTTTAATACTTCATATAACCCTTGCTTTAAAAGCTGATCTTTAACCGAATTTTTTGGTTCATTTTTCATCGGATCTGTTTGATTCCTGACTTGTCTTATGTATTTATCCATTGGCACAGACATCCCTCCCTAATGTAGATATCGGTTGCAACAAGAATAAGTGTTAGGAGAAGGGTTGAAGTATCAATGTAACGTGACTTAATCTTACGTGTTTGCACGTAATCATCCCACTAGGTTTCTCCTCCGACGCATTTAACCACGATAATCTCTGCAACCTTGCACATGCTCCTTCAGTTCTGATCGGTTGATACCCGTATCTAGAAGATCCGTGTATTCTCAATCAAATCATGGATCTAGTTCATTTGAATATAGTAATTTGTAGACACGTATCTATCTGAACATGATAACGCTTCTACTATTTGTTGATTTAGGTCTTTCTTTCACCATTTATACGGTGTGGGTGGGTTATTTGTCGGTCTCTCTCTCATTCAATCGAGTTTAGTTTCTTGATCCGTTGATAGTTTCTTAATATTTATTTAGATACTAAATACGATGACAACCAATCAATAAATACGTGTATAGTCACTTTGCATGTGTAGATTCTAGGTTCTTTTCTAGATAGAGTACACGTTGAAGGGTATAAAAGGGGAGACTAGGTAAGAGAAGAGAGGGGCATGGTGGGAGAACAATTTTGACGTTACGTGTTAACACGTAAGTTGTATTCACGTATGATTATGGTATAATAGAGAGAGACTAATGGGAAGGATCGTGTATATGTCCCTCAAACACACTACATACTTAGAGTTTTTAACACATAGCCCTAGAAAAACAGAAGTAGATGAATATATGTCTGTAATGACTGAGCAGAATCAGATTGAGTTTAAGAACCTAGTGTTGTTTTCTCAGTATGGCTTGGAGCAGCTCGCAAAAACTGAAAAGCTGATTAAGTTTGGCGACACGTTTATAAGCCGTGCTGCATTATTAACGGTTATGGCTGCGACAGCCATAACCGTAGCTTTAAACTACTATCTCTTTCATTTCGGGCTAATAGGCTTTTTGGGACTCTTTGCTGTCATGAATCTTACCGGCCTACTGTATGTCACCAACGTCAGAAAAACAGCCCTTACCATCCCCCACTCCAAGCTGTGGCACATCACAATTCACCATTACACTGGGTGGGTAGCGAGAGACAGTGATGAATTCATTCAAGTATTAAAAGATTTCAACAGCCATATTTCAGAATCAAAAGTAGCAAAAATGTCTGATCGTTTTATGAATCTCATATTCAACAAATAAATGACTTTAGACCAGGAGGACTGACCATATGCGTGATGCGGGTTCTAAAATAGAGAAACAATCAACACTTGGCCATGTTGTAAAAGTTCAACAAGTGATTGATTTTATCGTTCTCGCAGAGCTCCAAACCGGACGGCGCTTTGGTAAACAGCTCGATCAAGTGATCACGACAACGTTACGTGGGGTAGGTGTCAACGATTCCTACCTAGCTCAACGGCTGAAAACCTTAGCTGAGAAGGGACACTTATCCAGTGAGTGGGAAAGCGACAACCGGTTTCACCGCTTTTATGAGATCACCCCTTCGGGATTAGAGTACTTTCAGCAGCTTCAGCGCGAACTTCCTGAGCGTGTTGACCTTGCTCTTCGAGTATATAAAATATTTGAAGCAACATTGAAAAAATTCGAGTAGGAGGCCGCTTTGTCGATGGAGTACAGTGAAATGATCTCCGCACTTAAACGCCAGTTCCCCTCTGGTACAGTTCAGTTCAGGGAAGACAACCATCGCCCTTATATTCCAAATCAGGTTTATACGGATCGTGTGGAATCTGCAACCGGAAGCCAGTGGGACTTAGAAATCAAAGATTTGGATATAAACATCCCTTACAAGTATGTTAAAGCGATCGTAAGGATCCAAATTGGTCCACATTTCCGAGATGGATATGGTTTATCTATCATCCAAGGAGAGCCCAGCGAACAACCGAATCGGCTAAAGATCGCCATTGATTCCGCAGTGAACAGCGCTTTTGTCGAAGCTTTAGATAAATACCAGGTCGGCTGGATTGACCTGGCGCCGTACAAGACGAAGGATTGGGCGTCCAATCCTGCACTTCAACATTTGTTAGCGCAAGGCGCTCCAGTTGCCGGTGTACCAGTTCAATCACAAGAACAGACGGTTCATCAGTGTCTCATTTGTAAACGGCCATTATCTAGTTTGGATTGGGATTTCCTCGGAAAGGTACCCAATCTAAACCGGAGTAAAATGACGTATTGTTTTAAAGATCTTCCTGACCACTTAAAACTGAAGGGTGGACAACAAAACAGTTCAAGAATATGAACAACAACAAACACTACATCCTGAATAAGGGCAGAAAGAAAAAGGGGGAAGGCTTGAAAAGCACTTTTCTCTTTTTCTAATTCTTATATACTAATATTATATTATATTAGTATATAAGATCGTGGTGTACAATGGACGATTTTATTCAACGTGCCCTCGGACATGGGGGACACCTTGCAAGCATGATCCATGGCCACTCCCCTCGGACACCGCAAATTATGATATCGACGAAAGTGGGCCATGCCCTGGAGAAGGAACAACACCTACTAAGTGAAACTGGTACCGGTACAGGAAAGTCTTTGGGATACTTAACACTTGCATCGCGTTGGGCCGCTCAGAACCGCAAAACGGTTGTGGTTTGTACCCACACCATACCCCTTATAAC